AGGATGTCTGCCCCCCCATCCCCGCCCAGAATGGGAATGGTGCTGGACAGGGAGAGAAAGAAGGTGCTCAGAGGCACTCTGACCCCTACCCCCATCTCCCCACATGGTGGACCAGCTTTAGCCTTCCTCTTACAGGAGGCGTGAGACAGCCTCACCTTGACCCCAGATCTCCAAGCACAGTTTCTTGGGGTTCTGAACCTCATTTTCCTCACTCTGAGGGTTTCGGAAGGATGGAGGGGCTGCAGGAACACAGCTTGTGCCTTGGAGTCCCACGCAAATGCCTGACTTCCTTCTGAAGTGAGCTGCCCATACTGATCCCATATGAAGAGCTCTGACTTCGCCTGTCTTGCCTCCCTCTGGTCAATGAGGAGGCTGCACCCTTGGCGAACTGCCAAAGCCTTTTTAATATCACCCATCATTGTCATGCTACAGAAGCACCTAGTTACATACATATCAATTGATTCCTAAGCTATTAACTTGAGTGCCCACATTCGGCAGGGGGGGTGGGGTTGTGCCTAGTAAGTCAGTCTCAGACCCACTAGGATTGGTGCTTTCTAGTCAAACACACAGCCCAACATGCTGGGGACAGGCAGACAGAGGAATACTGAACATCGAATACATATACAAACAGACCAGATAAAATATTTGTCTTGCCTATAAGCCAAGGGCAAAGATATTTGTGGAACGGTGGGTATGTGTCTGTCTGAGGAAGAGGTGGGGAAGGTTGCTGGTAGCAGGAGTTATTTGGGTGTGGGTCAGGTGAGGATGGACAAGCGATTGCCTTTACTCTTAAATCCCAGCAGTTTCCTGATGTTGCTGGTGGTACTACAGAAGGGAGATCTTGGCCTGCTGGTGACGTTGCCTAGGGAGTGTTACAGGAAACGGAGAAGGTGAATGACATTCTGGAGGTAGAGAGAGTGCATGAATGAAGGGCATAGGCCTAGAAGGAGAGAGACGGTACTGTTACCACGAAAATTCTGAGAGGGAGACTGGAGTAACACTTGCTGGGAGAGGGCAGCGACAGTGGAGATCGCAACTTTTAAGAGTTCCTTTGGGACCAGTGGGAGCGTTGGGGCTGTGGGAGGAGGGGGCAGTGAAAGGCCAAGTGACAGATGACCAGGCTGTGGCAGAGAAGCAAAAGGGAAAGAGAGGGATGTAGGAATTAGCACAATATATTGAACAGAGGGACCACACTCCTAGCTCACTTTGAGACAATGTTTCCATTAAGCAATCACTGTAGAAACCCACAATCCTTAAGTGATTTGCCCCTACCTCCCAGGGCGTGAAAGTGAAGGACCTGGATCAGGGACCCAGTTTCCAACATGCTGCAATTGAGGTACCAGGGTTAGACAGCAGAGGGCGCTGTGACTCTGACAGACTAACTAGAAGCCACCAGAAGGAGGAAGCAGGTCACAGGAAAGGTTCCAGGGGGTCGTTGCCTTAGGACTTCCTAAACTGTGGTCTGTCTTCAGTGCACAATAAACCGAGCCTTACGGACCACGGAATCTCCCCAGGATGGACTGAAACAGAGCCGAGGGGCCAGAAGCTGCTGGGCCAGCCTACTGCTTGGCTTGTGCCCAGATAGCATGGGGCTGTCACCATTAACACTTCTCTACTAAAATGGGAAAGAAAAAAAATTCTCCCTCATTTTTAATAACTTTATTCCCCAAACTTCAAAAATGAAATTGCCAAGTTAAGAGTTCGCCTTGAAAAAAAAAAATTCTAATTTATTATAAAGAAGGTCCGGGGCTTGGGAATTTTTTAATGCCGATTCCTAATTTTCCAAAGTGAGATTCTCCTGTGCATTTGAATAGATTATGCTCGGTATTGCCAGCCCTTAGCACAACGGGAACATTATTAAAATGGTTGCACGGGTCTCAGAGGAAGGGAGGGCTCTGCCTCTTGCTTCCTTTTGCATTTTGGGGACTTCATATCAGACACTGTCCATTTCTGCCTGTGGAAGAAACCGGTTTTTGGAGGAGGTGATATAGAGATGTGCTCAGCTGTCCGGGCCTTGAGAAAACAAGTCATACTGGGTCCAAACGTAATGAGGTCAGGCCCACAGGAAAGAGGAAGTGGGAAATCCTCTCCAGAGGGCCCTTCTGGAGAAGTGGCTCTCTTGTGGCCTGACCTGTGCTTCTAGTAGGCCCGGCGCTCCTGAGGCCACTGAGGGCTGGAGAGCAGCTGGTTCTCTGGGACAATGAGCATTACAAGAGCAATGGACGGGGGCTCCCCCTGAGAATCTGGACTCAGCCTCTTGAAAGTACAAAGGAAAGAAGGCAGGAGGGCCAGACCAAGTCCCCCAAGAAAACTCACCTGGAAGCCATTCCTATGTGGAGGCCACTCTGAGAAGCCCCAAAGAGTCGGGGGAAGGGCCCCTGAAAGCCAACTGGACTCAAAGTCTAGCGCTTCCTGGAGAGAAGCGCCTTTCCCCAAGTGGCAGGAGTCTCTGTCCCGGGGACCTCAGCCCCTCCTCAGCCCACCGGCTCCATCCCTGCCCTTATTCCTCCTCGTGCCCCTCCCCATCAGTTTCCTCAGGAACCCGCTTGGCTCCGAGAGGGCCCTTGGCAATCTAGCCGTGGCACAGTGGCCTAGCCAAGGCCATACAGACCCCAGACTTGGCCTGGTTATTTTACCATGAACACTGACACTTCTCTCAGACAACTCGTTCCTGGACCCCTGGGGTTACAAATAGATGTGCGGCTCCTCCAGAAAACTATTCTTTGCTGTAAATATGAGTACTTTCAGTGGTGAAGTATGGGTGGCCACCAGAGAGGACAGCCTTGGCACAGTCCCCATCGGGCTTCTGCTCTGTGGCCTTACACGGGGGCTGAAGCCTCCCTTCCTCCCCAAAAAGGCTAGGGCAGCTCAGTGGCAGCTTCCAGGGGGCTGAGTGCCTTAGGGATGTAGCCCCACCTCCAGCGCCTCCCTCAGCGGCTGGGATATATTAATTCTCAGCTGGATGCTGATAATTAAATCAAGCTCCCCATTTAACTATACCCAGATCAGCCTTCTTGGACAGCACAGGCCTTTGAGGCAGCTCTCCTGCTCATCCCCACAAACCTCAACTTCTCCCAGCTGCCCAGCCAGGCAGAACGGGCTGGAAAGGGCGGGAGGTAGGCAGCAGCCACCAGCTGGGCCAACCCAGTGCTCTCTGACCTCTTGGCCCTACCCTCGTCTGCCCCTGAGCCTTGGGTAGGGGGTGTGGGCCTGTGCCCCCACCACCTGCTAAATATAGGAATGTCCCTGTGTCCAGTCCCCATACCTGCCGTGGACCTTGGAGAGCCGAATCCAGCTACTGAAGAATTGGAGCCAAAGTTCCTGCCTCTTTTCAACACCCAGGGCCCCCCAACAGTGCCTGAGCAGACAGGGAATGGGTGTGTGTTCCGGAAGGATGCTGCTTGTTCCCCATTATGGCCCCAAGGTTCTTAGGTCTCCACCAGTGCAGGCCTCCTGCTGCACTGCACTCTGACTGTGGAGGGAAAGGCCCTGACACAGTGTTGCACCCCTGGGAACTTCCGAATAAAGGAATGTGTAAATGTCAAGTCCAACCCTGCTGTCATTTGTGGAAAACCACTGCCATGGGTGTGGGGGGTTTGCTGAGCACGGGGTTAGGTTGTGGGGAGGCTGGGAAGGAGCAGGGAGTTGATATGTGGGGACAGGGGTGAGGATAAAGGACATGTGCTTGAGTATTGGTGAATGACAAGTGCTTTTCAACTTTCGGGGGACAGGAGTCAGTGGTGGTCCGCATGCTGAACACTGTAAAGTGGTAATTTCCTGAGCGGTAACAGGATGGATAAAGCAGTCACTCTGTGCTCCCACCACGTGGGGGTGTCAAGGCCATAGGACTCAATGGGAGTGAAAGTCGGCCCACCCTGTGGCGGCATCTCCCTCTTCTTTTCCTGCTGCACAGATCTTCCTGTGGCCGCTAAGAACAGCAGTGTTTGAAATGCTAATGAAAGGGATGTTAGGCAGGGCAGAGACCTACTGGGAGACTGATCAGAATGACCACCAGGCACACAGTAGGCACTGCACATTTGTTACATGAATGAATGAATATTCTCGCTGGCTGCATTTCCCATTACCAATAGTCAATACATTATTATTGAATTAATATTGACTTGAGAGACCAGGGTAGAGAAAACAGGAGTGTGTGAAGGTAAAGGTCAGAGAATAAAGCCTTCTGGGAAAGCACAGTCTAACTAACTCAGGGTCTCAAAAGAACCTGGCATCGACGCACACGGGGGAGGGGAAGCAAAGATGGGAAGTGACAGGTCTCCAGGACTGTGGGAGCCCACGAAAGCCGGGCAGTGCCTCTGGAAGGAGAGGAGACCAGGCAAGACAGCTGGAGGAGGCTGCTTTCTGCAGGTGCGGCAACCAGCGTCCAGTCTCAGAGCTTGGGAGCTGCTGTGTCTCAGCTGAGTGAGGGATGGGAGCTGGGAACCAGAGGGAAAGGGCTGGAGGGTGTGGAGAAACAGACCTGGCCTTTTTCTGGGTAGAAACTGGGCATAGCCCAGAAGAGAAGGGAGACTCCTCCAAAGGGGGCTGGTGTAAGGGCTCCAGTGACCAGTGAATGGGGGCATCCGTTAGGAGGAAACCTCAATTAAGAAGTTTCCCCAAACACTCAAAGACAGACTCGATTTACCTGTAAATCAGATCTGCCTCAGTGAGGGGTGAGGTGCATCTGTCTGTCTGATATCTGAATGGGAAGCAGGATGGTAGTGGGGGTGGGGACAGGACCATGATTGGGTGCCCTAGGCAACAGTCCTTGGTGCTGGCGACAGTTACCCAAGTAGGATCTGAATCCTGCAATTTGTCAAATGCAATGACTCCCCCAGAGGTCTACTTTTGCAGGGCTTTCTCCGGAGAGGCCTCCCCAGGCCTGATGAGGAAAGAGCCCTTGAGAGGCCAGGGTACAGATGAGGGAGGCCTGGCCCTGCCTTCGGCTGCAGGCAAGGCCACTGCACCCCCTTTCCCAGCACCTGATGGGTCACACTCACCTGCGAGCTGTCCTGGTAGGGTGGGGGAGGGACATTCTGCGTGGCCATCATAGTCAGAGCGGGGGCTGGGGAGGCATGTTGCATCATGGGATTGATTCACATCGAGGATCTGTGGCAGGAGAAAGGAGGCCGCATGGTTAATACGCTGAGTGCAGGGAGACCTGGGGACCAGCCGGCTCAGCATTTGTTCAGGCTGACCCAGTACTGTCAAGGCTGGAGGCCCTTTAGGGACAAATGAGAGTTCGGGGGAGAGGCCTGGCCAGGGAGGGGTTTGCTATGCTGTTTTGACTTGTAAGAAACAATATTCAAATCCTATGTAAGACACCCTGTACACCCGCAGCCATCTTTGTTCAGCATCATCTCGGGCCTGGTGGCAGGGGCATGGGAGGGGGCTGGGCTGGTGGCAGCACAAAACGGGGCTCTGCATCTCTCAGGCCAGGAACAGCCACCTGCCCGCTCAGGGGCAGAAGGCCCCACCCCTTTTGGTTCCAAGTCCCACCTACCAGGCCACGGGGCCACTGTGCTGGGACTTACCCCTGGGCTCACCACACCTCCTAGTGGTGGAAAGGGAGGTGGCGGGGCTGGTCCCTCCTCAGGCTGGAGGGTGGAACAAGCAGCCCAAGGCGGCCCAGGAAGGGAGATTGGCAGTGGAACATCCAAGAGCCAGGATGAGCACCTGTCACCTGCCAGGTTTTCCCAGGTGTGTGCTTGTGACTATGAGCATTCTCATCTATTCTATTAGGACAGACTTTCCTTGGCCTTCCTTCAAGGCATGTGGGGCCAGAAGAGCCATCAGAGACAAGGGTCCACCCCCCTTATAGACAGAGGCCAAGAGAAGTGATGATGTGTGTTTGGGGCAGAGAATGCAAGCCAGGCAGGGATGGGACCTGCCTCTCCAGATTCCCTGGACCCTGTCTACCCCTCACTGCGTCAACTGCTTCTGCAGAGCCTCAAGGGCTCTTCTTGAACCGGAATGTGGTGCTGTAAGTGGAGACAGCCTGGCAGTGCCACTCAAGGAAACAGAATGCCCAGGGAGCTGTTTAGCTGCAATAGAAGCCCTGAAATATTTAGAGCTGGAGACCACGGGCTGGCTGCCTGGTGCAGGCCTGTCTGTTGTGGGGCATGGAGACCCCTAAGAACCTCTGTGGGGTGAGGCCCCTGTCCTTCTCCTGGGTAGAGGGGACTGAGGAGCTGCAAACATTGGTTAAGCAGGAACTTAGGACCTTCCTCCCAGCCCCAGGGCCCTCCAGGCCCCATACACCCCGGGGGCTTCTGAAATGTTCACATACCTACCTGTATTCTGTAGGAATCTGAGGGTGTTTTGGAGCTGCCTAGGGAAAGGGGCTGGTCTCTAGGACCCAATGAGGGGTGTGTGTGTTGTTTTGGTTGTTTTTCAGGAGAAGGAGGAGCTCTGGTCTGACCCCCAGAAGTACTAGGTATGCTCGGACCTTAAGTGCTCATGTGAAGCACTGGAAATTCAGTTGTTCATTCAATGCATGTTTATCAAGTATCAAGTGCAAGCAAAGAGCTGTGCTGGGGGTGGGAGGCCGGATGAAAGGAGGCAAGATCTTCTCTCCCAGGAGCGCTGTCAGTAAGAGGGTCGGGACAGTGCAGCAGGAAAGGTGAAATGGAGTTCCAAAGGAGACAGCACCGGGACAGATGGCTTTTCCTGTGCCCAGACCCTGTGACCACAGAGAATTCCCCCTGGCCTCGCTGCTACCTAGCCCTCGCCTACCTCGGCCTTACTTCCGAAGGTGGACTACCAGGACGTCTTTGCCACAAAAACATTCCGGGCTTCCCGTCTCGCATACACACTAGGTACTGAGATCCAGGCTTTGACTTTGCAAACAGGCCTGGAAGGGAGCCCCGAGGGAACTGGTGCCGGTTTTCATGGCTGCCTCTTTGCCTGGGTGGCGCTAAGCATCCAAGAAGGCAGGGATGAGTGAAGAGGGTTCCAGAGAAAAAGGAGGATACAGGCTCCTTGGGACATCACAACTCCCAGAATTAAGACATGAGATACTAAAAGGGGTGTGGAATCTTTCTTTTGGACCCTGCGTGAATAAACGGCATAGGGATAAGTCAGGGGTGTTCTAGGCTCAGCCTTTCCTGCAACACTGGCCAATGAGGTAACTTTGTTGAGCCCTAAGGACCTCTAACCTCTACCTGGAGCCTAATCTTTGTCGTTCCCTGGCCCCAGAAAGCGAACCGCTGTGGGACTGTAATGCCAGCAGCGTCCAGAAGAGGGAGCCTAGGGGCAAAGTGTTGGGTGGGAGCTCCTTCCTGGCGGTTTTTCTCCCCACTGAGGGGCAACCAGCGCCCTTTAACCTCTGGTTTGGGGCTTTTGGCAACCTCATCCCCTGGATGAGAAAGTCATAGTGAAGGAAAAACAAAGGAAGCTCAAGGAGGAGGACTGGGGCTAAACAGAGGAGCCTTGAACCTGTGTCCTTTTGTTCACTGTCCAGTGGATGGGAGGTACAGTCATACTAGGGCGGGGGGGGTGTCCCCAGAAATATCTGCAGCGCAGGAGGGCTGCCCTGCCTGGGGGTAAGGAGGGATGGTAAGATTGGCTGGGCCCAGAAACAACCACCGCTGAGGCTGAGGAATTTTTCAGTCGGGAGCCTGCCGGGCTGCAGAGCCGGTCCCAGACCCACCTCGCCAGAGGACACAGGAGCAATTTTCTGAGGACCCAGATGGCCTTTGCTCCTCTCCTCCCCCTCTCTGGGGTCACCAAAGGCCACGAGGCCACTGCCCTATTGCCCTCAGGGGGCTTCTCCTGCAAGAGAACAGGAGGCCTTTTCACCAGGGGCTTGAATTTCCTTTTCTGCTCATTCAGGCACAGAAGCTTCTGATAATGTGATGGGGCGGGGGGAGACCCTGTGCCCATCTTGAGAAGCTTGCCCTTGTTTTCACACCACTCCACCCACACATGTACTCCCCAGTCCTTGGGAAACCCCGCCAGCTAGGCTTGGGGGGCTGAGGGGCCACATGGAGGGAGGTATCCTGGAGAGGCATGTGGGGACCCGGTGACTAGTCTGAGCCTTGGCTGAGATGCCTGGCTGGGGTGTGGGTGCTCCTTGGGCAACTGCTGAGTGCCTGACTCTTTCTGCACTTTCTATGGGAACGTGGAGTAGCTGGCCTGAGCTCCAAAAACCCAGCCATGGGCTTCTGAGCATTTATCAGTGGCTTGGAGAGGCTGGTCCGCCCTGTCCAGCAGCCCCAGTGCTATTACCATACACAGGGTCACTCCAGGGAGCATAGCCAAGCCTGAAAGGGACGCCTGAGGAACAATTTATCAAGAGAAGTTTCTCATCCAGGATAGGCGCACATGGAGTTTGAAGAAAAACCCTAATGCCACACTCAACCCCACAGTAATATCAATGAAGAAATAATTTGTGTCACTGGTATTATGTCAACAGGAGCGAAAACTGTCCTTTCACAGAGCTCCAGAGCTGAGTGGGGCAGTGTACCTAAGTGGGGGTGGGTGAAGACCCCCTTTTAGGAAGTGGGACTGGCACCCCTCTGCCTCCTCAGCGCTGGCCCCCGCAGCCCTGCCAGGTGAGACCCTGGTCTGGGGCCCAAACGCCAGCAAGCTGACACTCAGAAAAAACAACCCAGGCTCGTTAGGAAGGAGCTCATTAGGACTTGTTGACATGAAACCCATTAGACCAATTAACATTCCATTAACGGCCTGGGGCACCAAGGGGTTAATGCTGCCCTGCAGTAATTGGGCTGAGGTGCCGGGGTTGGGGGCGCAGGGCCTTAAGGATAAGAACCAGTCTAATTGGGAAGTCTGGCCTGCAGGCCCCACAGCATTTGTTCTCGCCCCCTGACCCGGCTGAGACTGCCACGTATCCTGTGCCGAGGTGGGGAAGGGGAAGAAAGGCTTGGCCTCCCCTTGTCCCCTCACGGTCGCAGCCTGAGACTGCAGGATGGTGGGCACAGGATAAGGTGAGGGCGTCCACCCTCTTGGACCCTGATTGTCCTGTTTTCTTCATCACCCCCTCCAGTTCTGTCTTAGCCCCAGGAAAGTAAGCCCCTCTCGTCTCCCAGTTATACACAACCCACTGTCACAAGAGCTCTTTGGCGAAGCTAGAATCTTTGAGGGCCCAGAGCTAACCCAGCTGAGGGGTGCTGTGGTTCAGGGCAGCGGGGTCGGGGCAGGGAGCTCTGGCCCTGGGTCGGCAGCCTTCTTTTCTCCTTTCCCTCCTTCCTTGCTTCCTCCCTCCCCTTCTTCCTTCTCTCCCTCCCCTCCGTCAGCAGGGCAGCTAAGAGGCACTCCTGAGAGCCCCCTGGGAGCCTTTCTTTTCTGTCCTCTGACACACATTGGCAGTATTTTCATTATTTCCCTTCCCTTTTGACAAGCAGACGCTGTGGAAGTCTCCCATCCCTGTCTGGGCCTCAGCGTCCTCATCTGCAAACTCCCACGGCAGGGCCTGGGCTTCCGTTCAGAGTCGGGATTCCACGCCCAGCGCGGCCACTTATCTGTGACCTATACAGGTCACTTCCCCTCTCGGACTGCAAAATGAGGATTATCATCAGAATGTTCTGAAAGTCTTTGCCCATGGTTAGCACTCAACATAAGCTTTGTTGAATGGGATGGAAAGAGTTGGATCGTAGTTTCATTCCACAGGCCTACCAGCTCCTCTCATTTCTCATTTGAGAGGGAGGGGGGCCCCTGAGGCCAGAGAGCCAGGTGCCTTCTCAGTGCTCCAGCCCAGAAGCCCCCAGGGGGTTACCCCCCACCACCCCCAGCCCCAGGCGGGCCTCTCAGAGAAGCTGCCCAGGCCTGGGTTCTGACGTCTAGACAGATTTGCATGAGGCTGAAATAACAGTGAACTCAGCAGGACGGACCGAAAGGCTGCATTAGAAACCCCGCTGGCATCAGCTTTTCCCTCCCTCCGGAGCCACCTACGACCCTGGCGCAATCTGGTTTATTTCCCTTCAGTGGAGGGCTTGGTCCAAAACCCGTCTCTGGCCCAGATCCCTTCTCAGAAGCGGCCTGTAGGTGGCGCTGCGGAGCCCTTTAATTGCATTATGTAATATAACCTGTTTACTAAATCATGTAATCAGTCGCCTTAGGATTTACAGCTTCGGATGTGTGTAGAGAAT